CAAATAAACTTTTCCTCCTCCTCTACCTTGTTCTTAGCAGGTCTTTTGGGCATAGCAAGGAAGTTGACAAAAACATGCAATTACATGGGGTATAGAAAGAGGATAGGCAGAAAAAGACAATCCAAAGAAGAAGCTCATAAGGGGCTTCAAAGCTGGGAACAAGAATGTTCACTTTGTTCTTTTTAAATTGTATAGAACTTATATAGTCTTTGGCATATTTTGATGTATTTGACAATTAAAAAAATGTTTCTYGCCCATAATCTCAGCAGCTCAGGAGGCTGAGACAGGAGGATCAAAACTTCAAAACCAGCCTCAGCAAAAGTAAAGTGCTAAGCAACTCARTGAGATCCTGTCTCTAAATAAAATACAAAATAGGGCTGGGGATTTGGTTCAGTGGTCAAGTGCCCCTGAGTTCAATCCCTGGTATCCCCATTCCCCCCAAAAAATATTTTCTTCCCTTTCTGTGTGGACCTTTATATATATATAAGCAATATAAAAGTTTCTAAATAATAGAATCCTGAAGTGGTTAACATATTGAAAGGAGAAATGTAGTATAGAAATAACCTAAGTATTCTAGGTTTGGTATTTCAGCATTTTTCAGGTAGGAGAAGAGGTAAGGTGCTCCTTTAAACTCATACTCTAATTCCCAGAATGTATTTTAAAGAAAATATGGCACATGCAAATATCTAAGCATAAGAACATTTACTTTAGCTCAGCTTATAATGGTAATGACTAGAAAAACCAAGCTTTTGAATAAGGCATGACTAAATAAGACTCAACTACACAAGAATGTTATCCAGTAAACTTTAAAAGATGAAGCAGAGTGTGTTTGTTGGCATGGGAAAACAATATATATATGATTTTCTTTACACACACACACACACACACACACACACACACATATATGAAAGATCCAGAAATATAGTCCAAGCAAATTAGCAAATAGAAAATTTTACCATATATCTGTATTTTCTAATTAATGTACATATTAGTAATACCTTTAAAGAAAAAAAGTTGACTTTTAAAATTTTAAGGCAAAAAAATTTCACTGGCTTTGCTATCAAGATAACAAGTGAGTTATCCTTTAAGGCTCAATCAAATTCCCTGTAATTCAGCTAGAAACTCTGGCGGATACATCAATTTATCTCAAGCAACAAAGCTATATTCCTTAAATTAAAGCAATACCAATTTCTTYTATTAGAGGTTGGTATTGCACCAGAATAGGCTTCAATGTGTGCTTCACAAGTGTCCAGCATCAGGCCTTTTTGTCTAATATGATCTGATTAAGGCCATGGCCTTCACTCACTAGGCCCCATGTATATAGTAACCTCTGAAAACACATTCCCAGCCCTCTATATAATAGCATTCCTTCTTTTTTTTCTCTCATTCTTTTGTTACATACCACACCTTCTCAGTTCAATCTATTTTCAAATTTTTTCACTGTTCTAATGAGAAAGATCATTAGAAAGCAAAAATAATTTATTTTTTCTTGCTTCCTATATTTGCCTACTCAAATCCATCTATATGTTGCAGCTTTCAGAGTAGAAACATTAAACTTAAAGTCAAAAACAACACAAAATGTTCTCTTCCATTTTCTGATCCCAAGTTTTAAGTGGCCTCATGTATATCTGTGATAGTCCAAAATACACAAAATGCTGTGATTCTAAGTAACATTTGGCCTAATCTTTTAATCAAAGTTTGAAATACAACATACAGAGATTAAATATTATTTTCAGTTCTTTCATAGTTCATTAAATAACAACTCTAACCATATAATTATCTTATTTCCAAATCATCATTTATTTTAGGGAAACTATAAGTCTATAATTGTCAATTGCAAGTTTTCTTATCAATGAAAAAATAGAGCACAAAGTCAGAATTAGTGGAGCATTATGCAGTACAGAAATTTCTATACTTTGTGCATATAAAAGTTGAGCACCCCTAATTCAAAAACCTAAAATCTGAAATGTGCCCAAATCTGAAACTTTTTGAATAYAGACATTAGACCAGAGTGGAAAATTCCACACCTGACCTTATGTGAAAGATCAGTCAAAACATGGGTACACCATAAATAGTGTATGAAATTATCTTCAAGCCATATATATAAGGTGTATATGCAACATAAATAAATTTTTGTGTTTAAACTTGGGTCCCATCCCCAGGATATCTCATTATGTACATACAAATACTCTAAAATCCAAAACAATTACAAACACTTCTTATCCCAAGCATTTCAGGTAAATGGTACTCAACTTATAATAATTCCAGTCAATAGTCTTAAGAAGACACATCTAACTAAAAAGTTAAATGGATAATATGAATAAATACTTATAAAATTAATATTTGCCAAGATAGACACTTAAGTAATATTCTTAATGTAAAGGAGATAGAGATAAATATGTACCTTTGATTTGAGAAGGCTTCAGTGAAGGAGACAATGGACAATACCTATGAACACAAATGTCTCCAAGCAGCTAAGCCATTTCTACATTTCAATAAATTTCACTGTTGTTACTTACACACACACCCCAAAAAAATCCCTATTCTTTATAAAAGAAAAAATAGGAATAAAAGATTAAAACATAATTAAGTATAGTAATTTAACATTAATAGAAACAAATATTAGGACATTAGTAAATYGAGTGCCTGCAATCTGGCAGGAGACTGAAAATAGCAAATCATTCCATCAATACACTTTAAATGATACATAAAATAGTGCAATTTTTCAAGAATACTTCCAKCTTTTAAACCTGTCTGATTAACTGAGCCTAAATTACATTCTGCAACTTGATTTGAAGCTTTGGATGACTTCCCCCATAATATGTAAGGTATTTTAAGAGTAGGGAGAGAAACAAATGATAGAAAAGGTGGATATATGGGTCATGATAGAAATGTTAACTTGGGATCATGGTATGTGCTAACCTACTGCAGCAAGTCAAGGTAAAAGTGTTAGAAGGAAGAGGTCAGAGGAAATGTGTTAGTATCTATCACTGGGAAAGGTTTTTCAGGATGAGTGAAAGGAATATAAAAATGTACATCAGCTTATTTGTTTAGAAGGTACCAAAAAATGACTACCTGAGAAAGCATGGAGATTTCAATTTCAATATAACCTCAAAGTGYTAGATGAGAAAACATGGTATCTTCAAATAGGCACTTGGGACTGGGAAATAATAAAATGAAGTTGAACAGCTGATTTTCCTAAAGCAGTCACTGTAAATTCTCATTTGTTTGTTTGCTTTTTGTTTTTTGTACTACTGGGGATTAAACCCAAGGTCTCATGCAGACTAGGCAAGCACTCCACTGAGCTACATTCCCTGCCTTTTTTACTTTTTATTTTGAGATAGGCTCACTAAATTGTCCAGGCTGACCTAAACTTATGATACTCCTGCCTCAGCCTCCCAAGTCACTGGGATTATGGACATACGACACATGCCCAGCTCTTTTTCCCATTTTAAAGATGAAGGGAAATGTGAAGCTAAACTGAGAAACTATTCTAACCTTGCATAACTAGTAAATGATGAAAACAAAAAGGAAATCCAGATTTGTCTTTCCATGGCCCACCCTTTCTAGTACTATATACTATCTAAATATCAGATGARGGCTAGGGATATAGCTCAGTGGTAGAGCACTTGCCTTACATACGCAAGGGCCTAGATTTAATCCCCAGTACCCTTCCTCAAAATATTCACATGCAATTCAGAACGTTTTTATTACAAGTTTTTTATGATTTGAGAGCTGTATTTATAATCACTACAAATATACCCAAGATATTTACATCAAATGAACGTAACAAGTAAAAAAGAAATCAAAGTTGGCTGTGGGAAAAAAAAAAACCTAACAGAATCAGCTATATCAGGTGCTTATTTTAGGTTCTCAAAGGGACTAAGTACTAAGTACATTTTTTCAGTTTCAGAATAGGAATTCCCACAATATTACCTAGGCCAACTTGAGTAACACAAGAGAGAGAAGGAAAAAAGCTAAGGTGAACTTTTGAATCTATACTTTCCTGAACCATGCTCTATGGAACCTACAGTTTGTCCCTAATTTTCCCCTAGTTCTCTTTGGGCACCCTGACTTTGTTTTCCTGACTTAATTTGATTACATACACTCTAAGCACTTGGAATATTACGCTAAATATCTGTCCCATATTTTCTAGCCTACTAAATGAATCCTAGAGTTCTTCCTTTTGTAGGTTTAATTATTTGTTTTGCATTATTCATCCTACAAATCCCCTATTTATTATCTGACAATCATAGTTATTAGATTTCTCATTAAGCAATGGGAAATGGCTCTTGAGTACTGTTCTCCTAAATACCCACCACTATTTCTACCCTCTTTCTTAGAAATAAACCCTATAGGACTTACTATTCATTCTACTACAGTTTGAAATGGGTAATCTTGGCTATTTGAAGTCCAAAGAGAAAACGACAGAAAATGAAAACAGAACTACCAGAAAATCCTAAAAGAAACTGAGTCAAACTGATCCACAACCATCCATAAGTTATATATATGCCTATATGTAAAAAAAAAACTTGTAACCAGGAAGACAAATGAGAAAGGAACATCAAAAATTATTTTTAACTCATATCCTTACCTTGGCTCTCAGTTCTGAAGGGCAATGATTCATTAAAATATTTGGGAGAAGGCAGGCAAAGTTACATACAATCTGTAACTGCTAACCTAGGACTGGTACCCTCCAACACAAACACACACACACACACCATGCACACCTGGAAAATCACATTAGGTGAGCCCTAATATGCTGCTTCTGTGAGAGGATTCAGGACCCATCCTGCTCTAGTCATTCCTGTCCTAAATTTCTCCAAGGGACAGACACTTCACATAATTCTACAAAACTCTCATGAACAACAAGAGGTGGGTTGGGAAAGGAGGACAAATAAGACATATATCTTAAAAAAGAGAAAGGAGAATTCATCACAAAAGGAACTTTAGAAGCTCCCATGGCTCTCCAAGAAAACAAATATTCCTAACATCCTTACCAGTAAACAACATCCAGTGGTGCAAAGTAATTTTTCATTATCAGGTCAGCAAAGTAAGCTTCGGTTTCCCGGCAGGCGGTTCCATTTCCAATCACCACTGTGCTGCAGCTTCAAGGCAGAAACAGAATGAGAAACTGGATAAGTTCAAGGCATGCTTTGAAATCAACCAGAGAAAATGTACAGAATGCACAAATACTATTCCACACGGCTCTTATTCTCTCATATATCCAAGCAACCTCTCCATTGTTTCAAAGGAAAATAGACATGCAGTTTAAAAGATGCTGCCCATGCATTTGGTATAGATGGCAGTGAAAAAACAGTTTATTGTCATACAATGTCAAGAAGAATCAGTCAGCTTTCTTCCCATCAACAGGAATCAAAATTAAATGGCAATAGGTTAAAGCTGGAGCATTCTAAGCTGTAATAAAGACAATATGGCTGAATTATGTTGTCATAATTTCTGAACATTCTTAACTAAAACTATGACCATTCCTCAGAGAACAAAAGGAGGAAGGAAAGGAAGGAAGTAAGGAAAAGAAGACAGGGGATGAAGACTGGCCAAACAGAAGAAATAAATGCTCACTTTTTGGCAACATCACCACCTCTTATTTGTGAAAGAGAGAGGAAGCAGCACTTGTCAGGAATCCCCATATGCAGTTCTCCAGAAGTTTGCCCCAGCATTGTTTTACATGCCTCCTTCTCTCTCACCAAGGCACCTCCCTTGATCCCTCCCTATTTTAGGTTTCAAAGGAATTTCTTGCTGGGCCAGTGAAGTACTGATAAGATTACTTATTTTCATACTTGAAATTCAGCAAAAGCCTCTTTATTTTCTCAGCCTCTCTGAAGCCTTGTCCACAATGCAAGTAAACCACATCAGTATGAAGTATCTGACCTTAAAAGAAAATAGAAAAAAAATTAAATAAAAAGCCATTTTGTTGTAAAAAATTACAAAATATAACATCAGTGTTTTGATTAAGCCAGTTGTAAGAGAAAAGGCTTGTCTTTTCAAATGCAATCTAAATCATTCATGTTCACTTCTCCCTAAGACCTCTGAAAAACTGTTTCTTTCAAAGTAACATGGATTGTAACAATCTCTACACTTATTTTGCTACACAAAACAGTTAATGTTAACAAATTAGTAAAAACTAACATTTACTGAATACTCACTACATAGTAAACACTGTTGTASTGTTGTGATACTAYTTTTCTTCTTTTTAGTTGTAGACATATGAATTTGTTTCCTAGTAAAAATCTTTGTGTTATATATTTAAGAATTGCACTTTTCTACACTACAATACACAGAAAATATTTTATTTCTAATACAAATATTGTTTTAATTAAAACTTCATGCAGATTTGAGTGTAATTACCTAATAGAAATAAGTGACCAAAGTAAACAATGTTTTCCTAACAAGGAGGTTAAGAAAACAACAGAATAATTTCAAAGAAAGCAGAAGATAGGAAATAATAAAGTTAAAACAGAAATTAATGAAATAGAAAAAAAAAACACAAAGGAGCAACAAAATTATTTTTTAAAAAATACTTTTAATAGCCAGGCGTGTAATCCTGTAACAAGTGTAACTCCTGTAATCCCTAGCTGGTAAAGGTGAGGCAGGAGGATCTCGAGTTCAAAGCCAGTCTCAGCAATGGCGAGGTGCTAAGCAACTCAGCTAGACCCTGTCTCTAATAAAATACAAAACAGGGCTGGGAATGTGGCTCAATGATCGAGTGCTCCTGAGTACAAACCCCAGTACMAAAAAAAAAAAAAAATACTTTTAGCAATTAACAATCAAGAAAAATCAAAGAATCGTTTTTTAATTATAAATAAATATAAAGTATTATATTAGAAATAATTTTATTATATTTAAATTATAAATATAACTATAAATATATTACAAATTATAAAATATTTTCAAATAGGCACTTGGAACTGGCAAATAATAAAGTGAAGAGCTGATTTTCCTAAAGCAGTCGGTGTAAAATTCTTTTTTGGTTGTTTTTGGTTTTTGCAGGACAAATAAATTATATTTTAAAATGATTTCATAAATTATAATAGAAATGAAAATATGCTATAGAATATAAAATGAAAATACAGAATATGAGATATATTATCTATCTATAGCTATATATATAGAAATGAAAAGAGAATAGAGTATAGAAATGAAAAGAAGCTGTAACTAGAAATGGAGCAAATTAAAAAGAAACAGATTCAAATAATAGTATGTATGTAAATAATAGTATATAGTATTTTGATTAAATGATGAAATGGATAATTCTTAGAAAAATCTTACCAATGAAGATTGAGGATAAGTCCCTATATCTACATGTTAAAAATTTTAAAAAGAATTATCCTATAAGCAATATAAGACTGAAAACTTGATTTACTAACATATCCAAAAGAAAGAATCATGACCAAGTTGAATTTAACTAAGGAAAGTGTAATTTGACATTTTTTGAAAAAAAATCTGAATAATAAACTTCATCATAGTTAACACAGCAAAAGATAAAAGCCACAGGATGAATCAGTAGTTGAAGAAAAAAATTGATAAAACAGACTTCCCATTTATTATAAAAATGAACAGCACCAAAAGACAACTAAGGGGGCTGGAGTTGTTGTGCATCAGTGTTAGAGCGCTTGCCTAGCACATGTGAGGCACTGGGTTCTATCCTCAGCACCACATAAAAAAATAAAACAAATAAAGTTATTTAAAAAAATCATGTTTTGGGGCTGGGGATGTGGCTCAAGCGGTAGCGGGCTCGCCTGGCATGCGTGCGGCCGGGGTTCGATCCTCAGCACCACATACCAACAAAGATGTTGTGTCCGCCGAAAACTAAAAATTAAATATTAAAAAAGTCTGTCTGTCTCTCTCTCTCTTTCTCTCTCTCTCTCTCTCTCTCTCTCTCTCTTCTCTCACTCTCTCTTTAAAAAAAAAAATCATGTTTTAAAAAAAAGACAACTAGGAATAAAAAACCAAAACCCCATGAGTGCATCTATAATAAACGTAACAAAACATCTTCACAAAACCCAAAACTGAGCAGATGGGTACAATGCACTGACAGCTAAGACCTACGCACATAAGCATCTGTGTGGGAAGAAGCAGAGAGAATAGAAAATGTGATGATCCTCCGAACAGAAGAATCCCAAAATGTCAAAAAGTACTTCCCTAGGAAACACAAGTTAGAAAGTTTCTAAGAACAGTTAGAAATGCTAAAGCTTTGAAAACCTCCAAGGGAAATTCATGCAAACACACACACACACACACACACACACACACACACACACATGCATATCATAAGAAAACTTCTGAAAATCTTAGCAAACAGGGGGTAAAGACATATTACTTTCAAAAAGAACAATAATAAGATTTTTGGCTAAATTCTCAACAGAAAATATGATGCCAGAAAAAATAAAATAAAAATAGAATGACATCTTTAAGTAACAACCAATCTTGAATTCTACAACCATCAAAAATATTTTTCAAAAAAAAAAAAATATTTTTCAAAAGTGAAGGCAAGAGGGCTGGGGTTGTGGCTCAGTGGTAGAGCACTTGCCTAGCATATGTGAGGTACTGGGTTCCATCCTTGACACCACATAAAAATAAATAAAATAAATAAAGATCCATTAACAACTAATAAAAAAAATTTTTTTAAATGAAGGCAAAAGACACTTTTTCAGATGAATAAAAACTGAGACAATTTCTCATCATCTGACCCACATAAAAATTAATAACATAAGATTTTCATGTCTGCCGCCCATGCAAAATGTGCTCAACTGCAAACACAGAAATGCAGAAAAAAATGAAAAGTATTAGAAAAGGTAAATATATGAGTGAATATAAAAAACAATATTAGCTGGACAAATCAAAAGTGTCTTTTGGTGCTTAAAACATATAGAAATAAAATGCATCAAATATAACTAMGTCAAACAAGTTGATGAAGGATGATAGGGTTCAAGTTCAAGCCTTGTTAATCCTCAGTTCTCTACTGAGAAATAGGGAAGGAGGTAAATGATGGTCATATGTTGAAGGCTTTGATCAACAAATAAAGAGAAATATGAAGTTTGATTCTCTGGTTCTCATATCCCTATGAGAAAACCATTTGCTAAGCCTCAAAAATTCACATTATTTCCAAATCCCCATGAAATCTATAAAGTAAAACTTAACAGACCAAACAACTTTTATATAAAAAGCTGAAAAAGAACTTACTGGTAGGAGAAATTATAGCTAATTTGCAACCATGTTTGTAACCAGGATCCACTCCCATCAAGGTGCGGCCTGGAACAGGGCTTGTTAAAAGAAGCTGACGAAGATTCCGTCCAAACATCATTACTGATTCCTTCTCTGCATCTGATGTCAGTTTGGCTCTTCAGAAATGAAAAATAAATAAATGAATGAATGAATGAATGAATGAATAAATAAATAAATAAATAAATAAATAAATAAATAAATAGAAAGGGGAAAAGTACAGGGATCATTTTGTATAGTTAGTTATTCCTCACAGGAACATTCCCTATAACAAGTTAAAAAGAAAAACATCACATACAAAAATTAGATTGGGTCTATTTTTACTAGTCACAGTAATATATAATACCACAAAAATTTTGAAGTAATCTTYATGAGTTTGTCATACCTACCTTCCTTCTCTGTCTGCTCTTTGCTATATACAAAAGCAATATGATTAGAGGTATACATATCACTTCTCAGTCTTTTAGCTATGATACAGTGTAGATATGCATATATGTGAGAAAAAAATGTATAAAGACTTGCATGTCATGTGGGAGTCAAATTAAAGTTTATCAAATTTTGAAAAATATACACACAAAAATTAGARTAACAAATTATTGAATCACAGATAGCCTCCAATAACATTTAATTTTATATATTTACCTTTAAATATCCCAGTCATCTTCTCTACTCTATTCTCCACATCTACCCCTTTGTCATTCTCAGTGTCATGACATTACCATAGATACTAATAGACAGTCCAGAATCATGCCTCATATAAATAATTTCAGTTTTATGAAAGGAAGTTATTTTTTAAGTGTGCTTTTAGGCACACTCTAAGATAAAAATGTCCAATATGGCTTAAAATCATTTGGAAACCAAATTTTATTCCATTGACCTACTTAATAGAAGCTCTCCACATACTGTCTCCTGAAATTCTTAAGAATTTATAGAGTATAACTTCTCTTAGACTATGTGAACTACACATGCTATTGACCACAAGAAAACTGAACATATAAAAGTCATCAAAGCACATTTTATATCAGTGCTGAAGCAGAATATGTTACAGTTATAAAAGAGGCACACAGCTAACTAATGTTAGTGTCTCTGGTTTAATTCACTTTCTAAAGATTTCTCCATTTTCTCTAAACATTTCATTATCATTCTCTCTAAATTCAGCCAAATAAGAGAAGAAGTATCTTTCCAAATATTTCTATATCTACACTTTTACTTTATTCATTGGATGAACATTTGTTAACAGTCTTACAGAAGGTACCATGATTGGTATAAGCCAAAAAGACAAGATTCTCTGCCCTGATTTTCACTGTGCAGTGGAAAAAAAAAAAAAAAATACACAGGCAAGTTTAAAACAATGGTTAAGTGCTAACGTAACAGGAATGTCTAGGAAGGATAGCTGAACTAGGTAAGCTCAGGTCAATCAAGAGGAAACGGAGATGAAAGAAAGGGAAATGACTCATAGAAAAGGTGAGTAATTTTGTAAGCCACAGAGTGAACATATAAAAGCTCTAGAAGAAAGAAAAACCCAGATCACACAGGGTCATGTATGTTCTTCTGACCAACTTGGGTTTTATCCTGGAGACAAAGAAGATACACTGGAGGACTGTAAGTAGACTAGCATAAAATAATGAGATGGGGATTTTAAAATGGCAATGTGGAATCTATGTTGGAAAAGATAGAAGACAGTAACCATCTATGACACTAGTACAGTAATCCAGACAAGAAATGATGATGAATTGAACTAAGACAGTAACCATGGATATAAAGAGAAGGAACAATGCATGATACAGTACAAGATGGTAAAACACTTCTTGATAACTGACAAGGTAGAAAAGATAAATAAAGTAGATACGAAAAATGCCACATGGATGAATGATCATGACAGTCATGTTAATAAGAAATGCAAAAGCAGTTTATGCATAGGATATAGTCAACTGAATAAAATGACTACAAAATAACATAGTCTTAATGGTCTCTTTTAATTCACACACAGATGGAGAAAACTATGGCTAACAATGGGTATCTCTAGCGAAATTATGTTTCCCCCCTTTTGTGCTTTACTGATGCTTTCAATTTTCCTATAGTTGGGACAAAGTTCTTTTCTATTTTTTTTTTTTTTTTGAGAGAGAGAAAGAAGAGAGAGAGAATTTTTTTAATATTTATTTTTCAGTTTTCAGTGGAAACAATATCTTTATTTTATTTTTATGTGGTGCTGAGAATCGAACCCAGTGCCCCACATATGCCACGTGAGCGCGTTGCCGCTTGAGCCACATTCCCAGCCCCAAAGTTCTTTTTAATTAGAAAAATAAAGTACCGTAGAATGTATACACATTGAAATATTACTCAGCATAAAGAAGAAGGGTGGGCAGGGGGCCCGCTGGGGGCRGGTGGAGGTTCACCAAATTGGGCAAGAGGGGAAATGGAAGGAAAGGAAGGAGGACGGGAATAGGAAAGACTGTAGAATGAATTGAACATAACTTTCCTTTGTTCATATAGGAATACACGACCAGTGTAACTCCACATCATGTACAACCACAATAATGGAAGTTATACTCTATGTATGTATAATATGTCAAAATGCATTCTACTTTCATGTATAACTAAAAATAACAACTAAAAAAAAGAAAAAAAKGATTTTTCTTTATTAAAAAAAAGTAAAACTGACTGGGACTGCCTTCCTCAACTGYTGTTCATGGAAATATATCTATCAAGACACATCTCCAGACAATGTCTGCAAACTAACTTAAGAACTGAAAGAAGATGTACTGTTTTAACCAAAGGTATTTTAGAAAAAGAGAAGGAAAGTCCTTGTGATTTCTCACTGCTAGATTATATGTTAGACACTCCTGCACCAATTGTTTATATTCAATCTGAACAAAATTATTCCACAGCCACCCAAATCAWATAGATGCAAAAATGTCAAAAGTGCCACTGGACATAACATGCATAATGAAAAAAAAATAAGTTAATGACAACCATATAAAAGGAATTACATTTTTAAATAAGATAATTTTTTCTTCACTAAGGACAGAATTTCCTATATTTAAATTTTATGCCCTATCACCAAAAGCAAGAGATGTTGCACAACATAAATTGGAAACAGAATTTCAAAATGAACACTATTGTTAGGGGACTTCTCAACTAAAAAGGCTGAAACAAGAAACTGAATGTCACTGATAAAAAGAAATTGAACAAGAGAGCTATGTGTCATTAAGAGTACCTGCTCATTCAATACCCTGAACTCAATGGTCATGTCAAGCAAAAGAGAAATAGACAAATAGTATATAGTCTGTTAGAAATTCTAGTAAGGTTGATGAGATGGTTAGAAATTGAAATTTCCAGGTAGCCCTTGCTGAAACTTCAAAAAAAGTGAGAATGAAATAAATCTATTCCACTCAGGAAAGACCATATGAGAGAATGGCTAGTTTTTAAGGACTGACTACCAGAACAAAGGCTGGAGAAAATGGAAGTGGAGGGGGTTTGCCTCCCTACATTTCTTTTCTTTCCATCTTCTCATCTAAAACAATCCGCACCCCATTTTTTTTTGTAGTTTTCATCTTTATTGCTCTTAGAACTTCTATTAGTCCCTTTAAATGGCTATTTTAATAATGTCCTGATATTTGCTCATCATTGCTGATAACATTTCATCCAAACACTTCCCCTTTAGAGAATAAAATACAGCCTTCCTTCTTCACAGTAATAAATTCATCATGTCCTGCTTATGCTTTCTTTGGCTCTCTTACCTCTAAAAAATGACTGCACGTAACTTCTCCATTAACTTCTCAGTTTGTTTCTTCCAAACCAAATCTCAAATCAATAAAACCATTTATGTGGCTTGGTTGTCAAAATGCAAGACTATTATTCCAGAATATACTTTTCAAGCTGGACTACATAAGTGGTCCAGCTTGAAAAGTATATCACAATTAACAACAAAGTTTTAAGACTTATGCATAAGGCACGTACAGATTGCAATCAAGACTTAAACTTAAGACTTTGTGATTCTAAGTTCTTTGGCTTTGTGACTCAATCAACAAATACTTATTATATGCTTTAACAGTACAATGCAAAATAAATAGCACACAAAATTAAGCAAGACAAAATACAAACCTGAACTCTCTACAGAGAAGAGGATAAATAAGGCGTTTAAAGGAATCATCCAGTGAATTATGTAAAATCTTCATTAATTCTGGCCTTGCAAAGCCACGTGGTCTCCACCTGCAAAAAGAAAGCCCATACTAAACCTGATGTGACAATAATGAGACCATGAAAGGACACCTGGAAGAAAGAAGTGTGAAATAGGCAATGGGGGAAAAGCCTTTATTAAAGAAAAAGTAACATAATCTGTAAGGAGAGGCTGTGGTGTCTGGAACTTGTTACTATGACATCTGGATGTTTTATTTTTAAAAACCTATTAACTACAGTTAGACACAAAACTTAAAGGGGAAAAAAATCTGCTGGAAAGAGTCATCAAAGCATTATTAGTAATAAGTAAAATATCAAGATACAAGAAAGTCACCAAAAAATTATTACTGTGGACTAACAGTACTGCTATGAACTGAACAGTGCCCTTCCCCAAATTCATATATTGAAGCCCTTATCTCTATTGTGATGGCATCTAGAGATGGGGACTTTTGGAGAATATTAGCTTCAGATGAGGTCATGACACCAGAGACCTTGCTCTCTTTCTCTGAGTCTCTACTATGTGATGACACAGGGAGAAGGTGACTGTCAAACAAGAAGAACACCCCTCTTTCCTACCCCCACAGGAAGTGACTCAATTCCTTATTTTGGATTTACTAGCCTCAGGAACTGTGAGAAAATTAATTTTTGTTCTGTAAGACACACAGTCTGTACCACACTGTCATGGCAATAAAACAGGGCTGGGGATATAGCTCAGTTGGTAGAGGGCTTGCCTTGCATGCAAAAGGCCTGGGTTCTAATCCCCAGCACCACAAAAACAAAAAACGCTAAGACAATCACTGATTCTTCTATTACCTTTTCTTTATCTCTTCATGAGAATTAAAGGAGACTGAGCAAAGGAGAAACTGAACCTCACCTCTAGTCATTCATTTTTTTTTTAAGTATTTTTTTAGTTACCAATGGACCTTTGTTTTATTTATTTATATGTGGTGCTGAGAATCAAACCCAGTGCCTCACCCATGCTACACAAGCGCTCTATCACTGAACCACAACCCCAGCCCTGGACATTCTTGAGTAGAACTCAGGCCACGCTGCTCTACTGGGGACACATATACCCATACTGAAGAATGTAAAGGCCATAGAACTAACTGTTAGTAGACACTGAAGAAAGAATGGAGAGAAAAAAACGCAACTAAAAAGGACAAATTTAGTCCTACCCTTTCTGTGTTTCCATCCACCTACAGCATTTCTGCCTTTGCCCTTCAATGGCTCTTGAACAGACTCCATTAACAAAATATAAATGTTTTCTAGTCATCCAYTAATACATGTCAAAGGTCCTCTCATCTCTGTTAATCATCTCAGGCAAGGAAATGAACTCAGTTTAAGCGAGCAAACGCACAAGCCTTTACACTGTTACATACCAAAGGTTATGTGTTAGCAAATAACTAAACTCCTTCCATAGAGGGTAACATACTTAAATTACAAATAATTTTGTTTTTTAATTTCAATGAAAGTGCTTTTAGGCAGGATGTATATTTCCTTCTTTCTATCTAAATCTTCACTATTCCCCACTGTCACCTTTATCTGAGGACATGAGGGGTAGGGAGGAGGAGGACAAGAATTAGCCACAAGTCTTGCTTTCACTGAACCTTTTTAAAAAAAGGATAGTATGATAAATGCAAATACTAAAAATATGCAAAAATAAAGGTATAGAGCTCAAAAGTAGCAGTRATAGCAGTACAACATATTTAATGAAAACCAAGATTTGAAGCAGATTATCTCTGTTTAAATTCCATTTTACTACTTTGTTGGGAGACTTACTTAACCATGTCTGCTATCTCATTTATAAAATGAGAGTAATAATCATATTTAATTCAGTGTTGTGAGTTAATATGTAAAGGACTCGTAAATTTTTTGGCACATTCTATTTAAGCACTTGCTGCTGCTGCTGCTGCTGCTGCTACCATCATTGTTAATTTGGAGAATTCAACATCAAGAAAAGCTTCCCAGAAAAACACCTCAGATGGGTTTTAAAAACGAATTGTGGCTTACCTAGTAAGGCAAAGGAATATGATCATTCTGAGAAGAAACCATAGCATACTGGAAAGCTCAGAGGCAAGAAAGAACATGATAGATTCAAGTAACTACAAATAGATTAGTATGGCTTGGGTATAAACTGGCAGGATAAAGTCAAAGGAAGAAGAGGCTAGAATACAAGGCAGTGGGATGATATGCTATGAAGATAGTGCTTAGAGGCAGGAAGACTAATGAAGTGATTTTTTTTTAATTAGTATAGCTGATGTCTACTAAGGTTATTCCCTTAAGCCTCCAATAAAGATTTCCCTACTACTTGCAAGAAATAGCCAGAAATCCTACTATTACCTTTGCATATCCTCTTGAAGCCCCCCAGTGATCTTTTTCAAACCTCAAAATCCTCCCTTGGTTTAGACTGCTAGGCTCTCCTCCCTGGAAGAATGCTGTGGGTCTATTTTATTCTTAAAGATGTATCAGTTATTTCCATTCAGTTGACCTTCAAACCACTGGACCCAGCCCTGAAACATAGCAGCTAAACTAATATCCAGCATTACAGAAACTTMTTTTGGTTCCTTACACAATAATAATTTATGCTCCTTCCCTAGCTTCCTAGAAGCTATTCACAGAAATTAGCATAAGGGACTTGAAACAGTATGGTGAATTCACAGACTTTATTACTTACTATATCCTTAAAGCAATACAATATGTTTACCTAACAGAATATTATCTCAAAACCTGAGTCTTCCATCACTCAACAACTAAATATCTCTGAATAAAACTGAAGGACCTCATCTAAACCAAATTCTACAATACGAAACATATGTCTTATGAGATATGCACAATAAAGCAAAAATATAAGGCAGGAACCACAAACTCAACTGCCTGCAAGGGCCAGGAGAGTACTATAAACAACTGAAAAGATCTGTGCCCTAAACTGTATGTTTTTGACAGAGACATGCTTTGTCCACCCATTGCACAAAAAAATATTCTCTACTTTGGCAAAGAAATACACTCTGCTTRTTTCTTATACCTAAGATAAAGACAGGCTCTCTCCATTTAGCTTTCATTTTTCCACATTTAAAAAAGAACTGGATCAGGAGACAGTTCTTAAAACTACTGAACAAAAAATAGTATAATTTTAAACAATAGAAATTTACTCATCAGATAAAAGACATAAAAGCTCGCTGCAAGGGAGCTCAAACTTACAAATCCTGGTCACTGTACAGTCCAAGTCATGAACAGGAAAGCGTTGAGATCATTCCCTCACATATGTTTTGTTTAAAGAGCAAATGCAGAAACTAATGGAGTTTTCACAAACATAACTATTACAGCACGTGACAAGATTAGAAATCCTCTTCATATTTATCCTCTTGAACTAGCAACATATAATTATAAATTATGAATTGTTCAGTTCTGAATTTAGACCTAGGATTTTTTTTATACTAAGACASTAGTATTAAATTCTTCCTTGTTATTCTAATTAACTTAGATAATAACAAGATTTCCATTCAGCTCACTCTCTGCCCTAATCATATAGAACTTTATATATTCATAGCATAAGTGATACCATCATCTATCTTCTTGCCCTGCCATACAAATGCTATGCTTCACTTCACCTCTCCCTAATCAATCCATCCACCATTTAATCGAATGATTTCTCCTACCTCTGTAGACTCTACCTCCTAAACATTGCTYGAATCTGTTTATTTCCTATTGTTATTACCCTAGTCCAAAGCTACCACATCTACTCTTAGTTCCTCTCAAATAATTTTCTATGTTGCAGCCAGACTGATTTTAAAATGCAATCTGATCATGACACTTCTCTGTTTAAAATGTTTAAATTAGTTTCCTACTACACTTAAGATTAAAAAAAACAAAAATCTTTAGTATACTTAGAAAGCTATGTATGACCTGGCCCACACTGATCTCAATTCTCACTTCATGCTGCCTCTACTCCCATTCCTATCTCTACCCTACATACATGCCAGGCCAAATAGAGTTCTATGACACAAACTTTTATAGGTACTCTCTACTTCTATTCAGTGTCACCCTTATTAAACTACATGGTCTTCAAGGACAGACAGTGTATTTTTCAAGTTTCCAGGTGKATCTCCAACATCTAATACATACTTGAGTGGATAAGTATATGAGGGAGAGTGGGAAAAGAAGTAGAGAGAAAAAACAAAAAAAGRAAAAGAARAAAATTCATTAGGCAAACATGTCTAGCCATTCAAATGTGTTCTAGAAAAGAAAAAATTCCTTGAGAATAGTCCCATAGTTCCCAGAGAAGTGTTTCAGCTCTTGGAATTATCTACATGGACAAAAAAAGAAAAAACTTTCGATTAAAAATTATATTACTGGACTAGGCTTGAAGCTCAGTTGGTAGAGCCTTGAATGTGTGAGGCACTTCATCTCAAAATTTAAAAAAWTTTTTAAAGGGCAGGGGATGTAGCACAGTGGTAAAGCAGACCTAGTTTCAATCCCCTCTACCAAAACAAAACAAAACATCACAGTACAAGGGAAAAACTAAAGTCAAATATAGGTAAGCCATAGAAAAAATAATTATATCATTATAAGGAAAACCATCCCCTGATATTTACTTAATATAAAACGGTAGGTTAAAAGTATAACTAATACTTCTTTATTAAGGACGACTTTGATACAAAGAATTAAGAATATTTTCAGGAAAATAAGCTAGAAGTTGTCCCCAATTTATTGTGACCTCTTTACTAAAACACTTCTAGGAAAGGAATTAGGACCATAATCTTACCACTTTGTAATAACAGATACTATCAAAGGCCTGTTCAACACCATGTGTAAGCTACAAAATTACATGGAATATCACTTCATTCTTTTCAATTCATGAGGAAGGTATAATTCACTACTTTAAGGACAATGAAACTGAAAATAAAATTAAGTAAAACACCTATAGTAACATGGGTAGGAAGTAATATAACTGTAATTGAAACTCAAACATATCTGTTTTATATTTTCTAAAAAACCATCTTAGAGTTTCATTATATTAAAATATATGTTAATGTAATTTCTGAAATATAGTATTTCTTTTTGATATTTATTCTCTTCATTTTTARTGAAATTTATTTATTTATTTACAAAGGAAATAAGCATTCAAAGAAAGTGACAATTACACAGTAAAGTATAAGATAGAAAATTAAAATCTCATACCAAAGCCAAGGAGTAAACCATTTATTATCTTCTCAGGYATTTTCTTATATATACATTGACATATTATTTGCCATTAATGAAATTATAGAATAAATAATTATAAATTATCTTTTTAACCTAATAAGACATGTTTATATCTCAGCTTTTTCTAAAAGCTGCACAAAATTCCATTGTATGGATATGACATAACTGATCAACATTCAAATTACATTTTACTTGGTTAGTATTATTTGGTGGTTCAGCAAGTTGATCCTTTGTGGAATTGCATTGGGCAAACTGGCTTTCAGTGAATTGATAMAAGAAGTATGTTGGATGTAGGAGCCATTTACCAAAGTATAGCATATATATTTCTCAAAGAATGCTACATCTAACTTTTCAAGTAGTATTCACAGCAAGTTCTCTAAGCTATGTTCACAAAGAGATAGCTGCTGATAAGCATATCTAAAATTTATCATTCTAACCAAGCTCCTTTACATCTTTGTATTAGCTTTCTTATTAGTCACATGGTGGCCACAAAATTTGCTGTACCAATCAAATGGATTGATGTGAAGATCAAATATATTTAGAAAAATTAAAAGTCAAGTGTTATATAAAATGTGTGGCTAGTTTAAATGGTTTCCTTAAAAACTAAAAAGGTTAATTAAAAATATGATGTTTAAAAATGTTTAATGTTTATTTCAATCATCCTTAATGTGCAAAGGTTTTTTAGGAAAACCATACAGTTTGTTTAAAGATTTATATTGACAATATATCCTATTAATCACATTTTTGTTTCAATCATCCTTAATGAGTAAAACATTTCAGATATACTATATACAATATGATGGGTTTTTTATCTTTTTATATTTTTATCTATAGATGGACACAATATCTTTATTTTATTTATCTTTATGTGAAGCTGAGAATCGAACCCAGTGCCTCACACATGCTAGGCAAACACTCTACCACTGAGCCACAATCCCAGCCCCTATATTATGATATTTTAACCTATTTTTTTTCATGAGGGGAAATATGCTCTTTATAAAAGATTCAAATGGTACAGAAAAGCACAGTCATGCATCACTTAATAATGGGGATAAGTTGTAAGAAATGCACRATAAGTCATTTCATCACAGTGCAGGCCTCTAAGTATGCTTCTGTGAACCAAGATGGTATAGCCTACCATGCACCTAGGCTATATGGTATTGTCTATTGCATCTATGTTTTAAACCTATACAGAAGGTTACTTTACTAAACACTTTAGGGAACTATAACAAGATGGTAAGTATCTGTATATGTAAACATAGAGTAATACAGTAAAAATACAGTACAAAGAATTAAAATAAAATAGTATATATGTATAGGGGGCTTACCATGAATGAACCTTGCAGGACTGGAAGTTATTCTCAGTGTCACTGACTGGGGAGTGAATATGAAGGTCTAGAACATTACTGTATACTACCATAGACTTCACTTAAGTTACACTAAATTTATTTTTAAGTGTTTTTTCTTCTTTCAGTAATAAATTAACCTTAGCTTACTTTAACTATTTCACTTTACAAACTTTTTTAACTTCTTGACTCTTTTGATGACACTTAGTTTAAAACACAAACACAGCTGTACAAAAATAACTTTTATATATTCTAATTCTATAAGACTTTCTATTTTTTTCTCTTTTWAAAAATACTTTTTAGTGGGAGTTCATAACCCTTTTGAATCAAACTGTGAAATATGATATATCAAGAAAGATGTAATGTTTTGAACGACCAACAATAATAAAAAATTTAAAAAAAAATACTTTTTAAACATTTTTGTTAAAAATCTAAGGAGAAAACATTCAGATTAGCCTAGGCACATCTTGTCACATAGGAATGTCCTCAGGAACAACAACATGCATGGAGTTTTCACCCTCCATGATACCCTCCATGATAATAATGCCTTCTTCTGGAATACCTCCTGAAGATCTTCTTGAGAAGGCTTCACACTATTCAGACAGGTATCTATGGTGGTTTCCTTGGTTTGCTTTTTTAATCACAGATTTACTTAGAAGCAGATAATGTACCATTGACTGAAATATTGTTATGCACTGCTGACTGTACTGAAGTAAATGTTCCTCTTCCAGAAATCATTATTGTTTCTTATGCACCCTCTAGGTATTTTCTATTTAAACATACACAAAACTCATATACTTCGTTTTTTAAATATAGCTGGGCATGGTAACACACAACTGTGATCCCAGCAACTCAGAAACAAGGAGGATCACAAGTTTGAGGCCAGCCTCAGCAAAGTGGGCCTCAAACAACTTAGCAAAACCCTGTCTMAAAATAAAAAGGGCTAGGGATGCAGCTCAGTGGTACACTGCCCTGGGTTCAATTCCTCCATACCAAAAAAGAAAAGAAAAACAAAAATWAAAAACAAAAGATACAATATACATTGACATTTGCTTTAAAAAAAAACACATAATAGACATCTTTCCATATCAGAACATAAAGATATCAGTATGGTATTTTAGAAAGGAAATTCTTTTTTTTTTTTTGGCGGTGGGGGGGACTGGGGATTGAACACAGGGGCCCTTGACCACTGAGCCACATCCTCAGCCCTCTTTTGTATTTTATTTAGAGACAGGGTCTCAATGAATTGCTTGTGCCTCATTTTTTTTTTTGAGGCTAGCTTTGAACTTGCGATCCTCCTATCTTAGCCTCCTAAGCCGCTGGGATTACAGACATGTGCCAAAACACCCACCTAGTAAGGAAATTCTATAGAAATCCATAAACATACCTGTTTTGGATGCACCACCTACAGAATTCATTCTTCACTCCATCGGAAATGTTGACCTTGACTGTCAATATCTTCAAATTCTCTCCACGATTAATTGCCAAAATCTGAGCACAAATGTATATGGTAAAAATTGATAATCCACAAAATATATATATATAATTGATAAATTTAATCAGTTGAAATTCATGACTAATTGAAACCAATTAGGCAGTTATTTAGCCAAGAGCTATTATCAATTATTTATTTTTTAATTTACCAAGAATGTATTCAAATAATAACTTGCTTATACTTTTGAGGGTTTTTGGGTTTTTTTATTTTTTAATTGATTTTTAAAAAATAAATGACAGCGGAATGCATTACAATTCTTTTTTTTTATTGGTTGTTCACAACATTACAAAGCTCTTGACATATCATATTTCATACATTAGATTGAAGTGGGTTATGAACTCCCAATTTTTACCCCAAATGCAGATTGCAGAATCACGTCGGTTACACATCCACAATTTTACATATACAGCACTATTTTTCATTTCTGGTTGTATATAAAGTATGTTCACACCAATTCTGTCTTCATACATGTACTTTGGATAATGATGTCCACCACATTCTACCATCCTTGCTAACACCCTGCCCCCTCCTTTCCCCTCCCACCTCTCTGCTCCATCTAGAGTTTGTCTATTCCTCCCATGATCCCCCTCCCTACCCCACTATGCATCAGCCTCCTTATATCAGAGAAAACATTTGGCATTTGGTTTTTGGGGATTGGCTAACTTCACTTAGCATTATCTTCTTCAACTCCATCCATTTACCTGCAAATGCCATTATTTTATTCTCTTTTATTGCTGAGTAATATTCCATTGTGTATATATGACACATTTTTTTATCCATTCATCTACTGAAAGGCCATCTAGGTTGGTTCCACAGTTTAGCTATTGTGAATTGTGCTGCTATAAACACTGATGTGGCTGTGTCCCTGTAGTATGCTGTTTTTAAGTCCTTTGAGTATAGATTGAGGAGAGGGATAGCTGGGCCAAATAGTGTTCCATTCTCAGTTTTCCAAGGAATCTCCATACTGCTTTCCATATTGGCTGCCCCAATTTACAGTCCCAGCAGCAGTGTGTGAGTGTACCTTTTTCCCCACATCCTCGCCAACACTTATTGTTGTTTGTCTTCATTTAGCTGCCATTTTGACTGGAGTGAGATGATATCTTAGAGTAGTTTTGATTTGCATTTTTCTAATTCCTAGAGATGATGAACATTTTTTCATATATTTGTTGATTGATTGTACATCCTCTTCTGTGACATATCTGTGCAGGTCCTTGGCCCACTTATTGATTGGGTTGTTTTTTTGGTGCTTAGCTTTTTGAGTTCTTTATATACCCTAGAGATTAGTGCTCTATCTGGTGTGTGAGGGGTAAAAATTTGCTTGAGATGCTTATACCTTTCCCAAGCAACTTATTTCCCTTATCAAGTAAACTATAACACACTCTTTGAAAGAAAATACAGTACATTGTATTTTGGTACAATGTATTTTGGTACTCCTTTTCAGATCCTACTGAAATTTTCTGACCATCTGGAGTTGATATATTTTTTATAACTGTGAAAGATCATTTGTGCTAAGATAAATACAAAATGCATAATCCTAAGAGGAATCGTTAATAGTTACTAATTGCTATCATTTACTAGCACTAATTGTAAGGCCCGTCTAAGCACTCTGAATACATTATCTTAAGTATTCCTTAAGTCATCAATGATGTATTATCTTCAATTGATAATCATTTTTCTGAGACTAACTTTCCCAAATCACAAAGCTAGCAAATAGCAAAGTAGAAATTTAAATTCATACCCTGTTCTTAATATTATGTTGAAAGAACTACCTTTAAAAATACTCCTTAGAAAAGTGCAAACAAAMGCTAAAATATGCAGAAGAAAGGAAATAAGAGAGTAGAAATTAAGAATTAAAAAAAAAAGACAGAAAATTCAACAGAACCAAAAGATGGGTCTTTCAAAATATCAACAAATTTTTGTTTTGAAATTTTATTTTAGTTGTAAATGGACACAATGACTTTATTTATTTTTTTATGTGGTGCTGAGGATGGAACCCAGTGCCTCATACATGCTAGGTGGAGCGCTCWACCTCTGAGCCACAACTCCAGCCCAATATCAACAAAACTGACAGATCTTTTGCTAATCAAAAGAAAATAACGAACACTCAAATTACCCAAAGTAAAAGAGAGGCCATTACTATAGATCATAGAAATAAGATATCCTAACAAAATATTATGAACAACTATATGCCAAATTAGATAACTTAGATAAAATGAAAAAAAGTCCTAAAAAGACCCAACTTACCAAAAGCAAATCAAAAGAAAGAGAAAATGTGAATAGATCTAAAAGTAAAAATATTGAATTGGTAATTCTAAAATTTCCCATAATGAAATGTCCAGGCTTAGGTGGCTCCACCATAGAACTCTGCCATTTTAAGAAGAAATAATACCAATTCTTCATAAAATTTTCCAAATATATAAGAGAAGAAAAAACTTCCCAATTCTCTTCAAGGCCTGTATTATACTGATACAAAACCAAGCAAGACGTCACAAGAAAATTACAGACCAATATCTCTTATGAATATAGATGTAAAAATCCTCAGCAAAATAACAGCAATCCAAATCCAGAAATATATAAACAGGATTACACACCAAGACAGAGTATAATTAATTCCAGGAATGTCCAGCGGTTTATCATCTGGAAATCAATTAATATAATATATTATATCAATTCAATAAAAAATAAAAAATCATCTGGTCATCTCAATAGATTCAAAAACATTTGACAAAATCTAGCAGTTCTTCATGTTAAAAACACTAAAAAATTAGTAACAGAAGGAAAGTTCTTTAATGTAAGAAATAATAGAATGAAACTGAAAGTAAGTAGTGGGATAAAGCAGAATTATTGTAGATGTCAGCAATGAACAGGAAATAGGTAGTAAAAAAAAAAAAAAAAAAAAAAAGGCAAAGGAAGTGGGATCAGTGAAAGCAGCAGCAAAAAAAGAACAGAAATGGAAGATCCCAGGAGAGAATGTGAAGGCCAAGTGACAAATTCATATAATAAAAAAGACTTCACTAAGGACCAATGAAAAGTTGCAACCAGAGTAATTAATTTAGTAGACAGGCCTAACAGCTCCCTCCACAACACATGGAGAAATTATAGGGAATGCTGTTTCTTTACCACAGATTTCCATCATTTTCATAGGTTTCTGTATTCCAAGGTACTACATCTTCGGACATTTACGTAGAGGCTGAAAAATAGGGTTCAGAGCTGGGGACACAGGGGCCTCAGCACTGAAGGGTTTAGAAAGCTATCTTTGTGACATCATCCCTCTTGCATTCAAAATAATCTAAAAAGTTCTTAAAACATAGGACTGTTTTTCAAAACTGACATTCCCCAAAGGGTTTACTTTCTCAGGCCTGAGTTCTTTACATCTAGAAGATTGTGTCAACCACAAACTTAAATTTAGTTACAAACTAAAGCAGAATGACACATGGATTAAACATACTATTTAAAATGTGTTTTAAATGCTGAGACCAACAAAATATTTTCAAGCAGATATTAGAAAGGATGGTTTCAGAAAAATAAAACTGCATGTTTTCCAAAGTTGTATTAAAATTTTAAAAAGCAAAGAAGGGACAAAATATGATATCGTCATTTCCGTAAAAGGAAATTAAGTATGCTTAGTTACTAATACTATTAGAAATTATTTCTTCATTATGCTATATCTGTTGACAAAACCTGGCAAGTAAAATATCAAAGTGTTAACATTTTTTCAAATTACTAAAAGTATATACACTTCGCCCAATATGATACAATGTATAAAAACCAAAATTGACAACTTTAGAGTATACATAGTGAAACTTTCTTCAAGGGCACGGGCCATGTCACCTTGATTCTCCAATTAAGATCCAAAATATAATAAGTATACAAAAAATATCTTTGGGATAATTAAAGATTTTCATATCATGTTACAACAAGATCAAAATATTCTGTGTCTGTGCTATCATAAGTTTTTCGAAAAATTCTATTTTTAGTATGGAAATTAAATGTTGTATAAATGGTAAAGCATTCTACTACTTTCCATCATCCCCTTTTTACCACAGTAAAATGCAGACAGTAAGAGAAATAAATTTTTTAATTATTTATTGAAGACTTCAGGTTTGTAGAAGAGTGACAATCTCCTGATTCTAAATCTCCCCTCATCCTCCTAGAAGAACCACAAAATCAATAAAGAGAATTAATAAAGCAACAGAGGACATCTTCAGCTGAGATTTTTATCTAAGACAGATTTCTTCAAAACGATATTCAAGGAAAAGCAACAACAGTATAATGTATTCAAGAAACTTAAAAAAAAAAAAAGAAAAAAAGAAACTTAAGGAAAGAAAGTGCAAAAAAATGTTTAAATGTGCCAGAAGTAAGAATACTGTACATATATACCCTTCTTGAACCATATACTAGGGTAGTGGTCAGCAAACTATGGTTCATGAGCCTGTTAAATATATAGAGTGGCACTGGTTTGGACAGAGCTTCTGCACTAGGCCCAACAGTCCAAGTCAAAATGGAGTCACTTATGCAAGTTCCAAGTCATCCAGCAAGTTTGTTTATAGGATCTTCCAAGAAATCAGGAGAGTGAGAAATACAGTAAGAGTCAATCCCCAACATGACAGTTTTAGCCTGCATAATAGCTCCAACCTTTATAAAGAAAGTAACTTTGAAAAAACCAATCTGCTTTTTTGTATTATTTCTGCTTTCCCCAGACCAGATTTTTTTCTATAAAGCCAAACTCTTCTACTCAGCTCATCAGAATAGTCATTGTATTTTATATGAGGCCTTGTCCCATTCTAGAATCCCAAATAAAATGCAATTAAGATTTTGTTATAATTTTGTCTTCTGACAGGATTAAGCCTATCTGACATCTATTTTTGTAAATAAAACTGCTAAAACACATTTATGATCACTCACTTACGTATCGTCAGTGACTATTTTCATACAACATGGTAGTTGTATATTTTMAAAAAAAAAAATTATCTAACAAGCCTAAAATATTTACCCT